TAATTAAATTGGCCTTAAGTTAATTTCGGTAAAATGTGCAAATGTAGGTTTTACGATAAAGCATTATTGTTATAATCTAAGTGGGGTTTGTAAAACGGTTTGTCGAAATGTATCGCTACTCCTGCATTGAACAGAGAACAGTATTCTTTCAAAAAGGAAAGAAAATGTAGCATGAAACTGGTCGTTAGTGCACGAACATCATATGAAATTATTAAAGGCATAGTCTAGCATTATTTGGCTCAGTGTTTAAGTGTGAATTATATTGAAAGTGATTGGGTTTTGAACTGAAAACTGCCCCAGTATGGAAAACACAAACATCCTGTATTTAACTAAAAGAATTGTGTAGGTTTTCCATTTATGTCCGTGTGAATGAGCTAATGATAATGATATGTAGAGCTATGCTACCTTCCTAGTTCTTTAACTAGAGTATATTTGTTCTAAAGTACAAATATTTAACAGTAGCGAATCTTGGAATCAAAATAAAACCACCTCAGCCCTACCATGGTTGGGGCTAAGATACACTTTATTTTTTTATGTCTATGTCACTTCTAGATGGGCAGAAATGCAACTAGCAGTTTCAATATTTGAAGGTAATTTTCTTTCATCCCTATCCCCCATTTAATTTGTAAAATTTAGGCGACTCATGGTTGATCTTCCGCCAATAAGATTATGGATAGAAAATTAAGACATCTTGAATCTTGGAATTCGACACAGATAGGAGGGGAGGGGTATAAAGACAGTAGATTTTACAAATAGGGGGTTTACGCTACCTCAGCCACACCCTGGTTGAGGCTGAGGTAGGAAATTGTTATGTTTATGGCCGGAAATGACACTGTCTGAATATATAATTTGTTATCCCCATTTACTTTTAATTTGTCAAAATTAGGGCTCCCTCCTGATGTTTTAAGATTTATTTAATATTCAGGTAAAAGAAATACAAGAGAAAACATGAAAACAAGATGTAGATTACCTGAGGATTACCAGACTCCTTAGGGGTTCGCGAAAAATAATTGGGATTGGGATCAAAGAGGTTCGCAGGGGGTTCGCGAAAAATGTAGGGTCCACAAAAATGTTGCGGTTCCTCGGGATTATTTTGATTCTTATCCATCCCATGTTGATGTCACTACCAAATGACCGATGCTACACATATGCGTCACTATACAACATTTCTATTGTTTACTTTAACATGAACAAAGTTTATGAATGAAATTATTCAAGGTTTTTGAAGGCCCAAAGATTCGCGTACCCGCTAGGTCAAGCCTTACTTTTGTTTAGAGGGTAGCAGCGCCAAGACGCGAAAAGGAAAGTAAAATCATTAAATTGACCCCAGATTCCGGACAATGATCTTCGAGTACAGTAGATTGCATTTACTTTCATTGAGAGTTCCAGTTTTCTTCGTAGGACTAGAAAGAGCATAGGAAGTGGGGAAGCCCCTACATTATAAAAATTGGGAAAAAGAAAATAAGCCTACATTCTTCACGTTATTCCCATGTAGATGATGAAAAAACGAAGACCCCTGGTAATTTCACGAACAAAAGTTCAAATGTTCTCGTATTTTTTTATTTTTTTTTATTCAACATTTCACCCAGAGGTACCCCACAAGGCAATCTCAAGCCTTAGTAACGAAGTACCTCTGAAAATAATACAAATAACAAATACAATGGCACTTGTTACAAAAAGTAAAAGTTTAAATTTAATAAAAATACACTGTCTGACAAATAAAAATTCAATCTAAACCTGATGATCAAGCTCTTTGAATTCAGTGAAACTAATTTCTTACAAAACGAGAAATCAGCAAAGATAGTTGGAAAAAAAAATTGGATTACAGTGATCGACTTATTTCTTTGAGTAACAAAAAGGGGACATATTATAAAATAATGGAAAGGGGTTTCTATACTGTTTCCACAAGCACAATTTGGATCAGCCTTCAAACCATAAGAATGTAAATGAAAATTAAGGCTGCTAAAACCAAGTCTTATTCTTGTATGTATTTCATTAGTTTTTTAGACACAGTATCATAATATCTTATATTTGTTGGAAAACATTCTTTGAATTTAAACGCAGAAATTGATGGAGAATTTTTTATTTCATTATTAAAGGTGTTCAATCAGAGGTAACAGAGTATATAAATGATGAATTATATAATTCAGTTCTGCAAAGTGGGAGTTTCAAAACATTGACAATAAATACTGCAGCATTTGATTATTTCTTATTTTGTAAAATAAACACTGTTTAGAATAACTTTAAACAGTTGGCCAACCAAGTTCAGTACGTAGTGCTGTATGACTAGTATACCTCCATGCACCTGTACAGATTCTTGCAACTCATTTGAAGATTTTCTAGATCTGAAGCTAGGCTGCTGTGGTGATATTATCCCACACAGAGGAAGCACATTCTAACAGTGGTCGAATACAAGTGATATAAATTTTTACTAAATTTGGCCGTGATATGAATGTTTTTACATGTTTCATCATATTTAATGATGAAGTGGCTTTATTTAATATTAATTGTATATGCCTATTCCATGATAAATCATAACTAAATATTACACCTAAGTGTTGATGATATTTAACAAAATTAATTTCATAATTTTCAAAGAATAAACATAAGTCAACCTGTGTTTGCATCAGACTTTTTGAAAACAGAACTACCTTGGTTTTATCAGCATTAAATTTTACCTTCCACCTTTCAGCCCATTCAGAAATAGTTTTTAAATCGTCATTCAATCTAATTGCAATGTTGTTTCTATCATGACCAACTTCATATAAGCATGTATCATTTATATAAGCTAAGAATAAAAATGGACCCAAGACTGATCCTTGTGGAACACCTGCAATGTTATTTTTCCATTGATTTTAAACGCCTTGGATAACTACACGTTGCTGTCGATTAGAAAGATAACTTAAAAACCATTTATATAAATTACCTGTAATACCATACTGTCTTAACTTGAACAGTACATCAGTATGCCATACCTTATCAAAATCTTTGGATATATCAGAAAAAAAACCGAACAGACTATATAATAATAATCTCGTAATTATGATTTTGTGACAGCCTGGTGTAGTATCATTTAGAAAAAAAATATATATATAATGTCGGTCTAATGGAATTGCTTCGCTGATATCATTTTTGGCAAGGTATGCGGGTCGGGCAATATTTTGTGTTATTTTTATAGCAGTAGTGATGGTGTCATATTTTACAGTTTTGTGTGTTTCAGATATAATAAAGTTAACTGAATAGAAAAAAGTGTTTATGTAATAATCAAAATTTGCCGTCTAGCTTTTTACAAAGGGCCAACGGTGAAGTCTTAAATGCTAAAAAAGGAGGCTTGTCAAATGGGCATGCGATACGGCCATGGTATACCTCGGGATGAATCTTTGCGTTAACGATGTCTGGTTGCCCAAGTGCTGATGTGGAATTAAAGCATGTGGTTTCTTATTCTGGGCCTTTGAAATTGAGGCTAAACCCTTTTGTGAAACCTTCAACCTTCAATTTATTTGCTTTACTGGTGTGTGGGAATGGGGTTTTCGTGGTTGTATTGTTAGCGGTAACGACTTGTGGACGAGAGGCATTTGTTATGTGAGGGGTTGGGGCGTTGTTAGTATAGTTGTGGCATAATCCACACTTTGGGCAGGTATGTTTGTGTCCACAACTGCCGGTGGTATCAAATGAGGTGCATCGTGTGTTTGGTCTATGATATGAAAAGCACCACTTTTTGGGGACCTCTGGATATAGAGATGCTACACGACCGCCGGTTAATTTTGGGTGGGCTTTGTACCTGTTTTAGCGGAAGGGGGAGGGGTCAAGGTCGACAGTTGTAAGTCACATTTAAGAGACGACCAACGGTATTGTATCTGCTCCATCTTTATCCTGTGCTGGTGATAATAAGCCTCCCAATTTAAACCTTGCCTCGTCATAGTTTTGATGGCTTTCAATAAATTTAGTGAATAGCTCCCTGAAGTCGTACGTGTTCTGTTGAGTGTATACGGCAAAAGACTCATCAAACACCTGACTCGGCTTCGTTTGGGTATAGGTGGAAAAACTCTACAAAGTTAGTTCCCAGATTCTTTGTTTGAATTTAATAGGTATGCCTGCTGCTTTTACCATACCAGGGGAGGAGGGGGTGCCACCCCCCCCCCCCCTCTTTTAGGGTGTAAAAAAAACGAAAGAAAAAGAAAAAAAATGATAGCCCAGAACGCCCCAAATATTATTTTCAGGCGTCTAGAACACAAAAATTTCGCGGGGGCATTTCTATATATATATATATATAACCATTTAAAAAAAATGGCCTAAACCAAAATACGTGAATCAGATGGTTTAGCAAAATCAAGAAATATGATTGCTCCGGGTTTATTGTTGTCGTTTGTATAATAAGACAGTTAATCGTTAAAATCTTATGTTCTTCACCTGCAAATCTTCCCTTTAAATAGCCTTTGTGATATTAATTATAGAGCCAATAACATTTTTATACAATAATAACTTACTATACAATAGGATATTATTTTGATTTGTATTATAGATATATAATAAAATATATAAATTTGTATAAAAGACTCATCAAACACCTGACTCGGCTTCGTTTGGGTATAGGTGGAAAAACTCTACAAAGTTAGTTCCCAGATTCTTTGTTTGAATTTAATAGGTATGCCTGCTGCTTTTACCATACCAGGGGAGGAGGGGGTGCCACCCCCCCCCCCCCCC